TTAAAAAGCTGAGCTTTAACCATCAGCTCTTTATGCAAGAAAAACAGTTGAATTTTCAGCCAAAAGGTTAAAAAAAAATAATAAGATTATTCATCTGCAGTTTTTACACTTTCCTAAATGCAAGTATCTGTTTAATGTGGAAGAGGATTAGGGCCACTGAAAAAAAAAAAAAATAAAGGTTACCGGTAACTGATTTTTTAATTTTATTTCGGTTTAGTATGGGAAAAAAGTCAGAATTCTGACTTTTTTCCCATAATACAATTCTGACTGAATTCTGACAATAAAAAAGTCGGAATTCAGACTTTTTTCCCCATACTAAACCGAAATAAAATAAAAAAATCAGTTAACTTTTTTTTTTTTCAGTGGCCCTAATCCTCTTCCGTAGTTTAAACCCAAAACCTATACTACTTAACATTTTAATTCCCCAAACCTGAATATAATAAATAATCCAAAATTTCATCTAAAAATTTCACCAGAATGTTATAAAAGAGCTGAGATGTTTTAACTGGAGCTGTTTGATATTCAATAGAACAAAACCTTTAAAGATTAAAAACATAAATGATGTCAGAGTGTCTTTCATTATGGCTGGGTGGAGCAGCAGGTTTCCATCTCAGAAATATAACCAAGCCTGATTAGAAAAAGAGCCAAAGGTCAAAAACATTTATTATCTGCACCTGCGGCATCAAAGCGCAAGTGGAGGGTTGAGAGAAACATTTCAGATCCAGAAGTAAATCAACTCTTCTAGGTTAACTGTAGGTTACCCTGCAGGCAAACTTCTCTTATATTACTGAATTTATTGGCTGGAAATAATCTTACAAATAATCTCAAATATCTTAGGTGAAACACTTTTTTAAAAGAGTAATCTGATCATTTAAGGGATTTTTGTAAAAACCAATAACAAAGACAAAAAGATAGCTAAACAAAATGAAAAACTAAAAACTTTAGCTTGCAGTTTGAATTATACCCAGAGGCACTTTCACATTTCTGAGAAACCATTCAAATTTTCAAAAGCCAGTGACCCATTTCTAAGAGTAAACAATCCTCTAAAGCACACAGCAAATGAAGCATCATTTGTCTTTGACTCTGTTGCATCCTGAAAAGATCCTGTCCGTTTATAAGATCAGAAAGCTACGGAAGAGGATTAGGGCCAGTGGAAAAAAAAAAAAAAAAATTAACTGATTTTTAAATTTTATTTCAGTTTAGTATGGGAAAACAGTCAGAATTCAGACTTTTTATCAGAATTTTGACTGAATTCTAACAATAAAAAATAAGTCAGAATTCTGAGATTAAAGTCAGAATTCTTAGAATAAAAGTCAGAATTCTGAGATTAAAGTGAGAATTCTGAGATTAAAGTCAGAATTCTTAGAATAAAAGTCAGAATTCTGAGATTAAAGTCAGAATTCGCACTTTTTTCCCATACTACACTGAAATAAAATAAAAAAAAATCAGTTAACTTTTTTTTTCAGTGGCCCTAATCCTCTTCTGTAGAAAGCAGTTGGGGGGTGCAAAATAATCGCCATGACGATGCATCGCCATTCTAATTTTTGTGATCTACTGCATCGTTTCTTGACGCCAATTATCCATTCTTAATTTAAAAAAAAGGAAAGCAATTAAATACATGATTGGTTGGCGCACATCAGCCAAAATCAAGTGGAATACAACTTCCAGTCCAGTAGGTGGCGCTGCGGATGTGTTGATGCCCGCTGCTTGTGTCACGGTATTTCCGGCTGTGGGATACTGCGACGCGTCATTCATAAAGAAAACATTCGCCCGGCTCCGTCACATTTCAAGTCAGATGTTTGGATGCATTTTAGCTTTAAAAACAAAATTGATATGATGCACGTAATTAGCAAAATTAGAAAATGTCATATATTTGAATGTTTTCATTTCATTGGTTTAAAGGACCACTGAGGCCATGTGAACACCAGTCCGACCATCCTGTGCATATCTTCAGTTTTCATGGTGAATTTTGCTGGTCATATTCAAGAAAAATGAAAAACAATCCACTGGACTTTTTTCCCCAAGTTTTAAGACGTTTCGTTTCCTATCTAGTAAGCTTCTTCAATTCAAAATGTCAGGAAAAGAGTTAAACCTCAAACTCAACTCTATTCCTGACATTTTTCAGCTGAAAAACTTTCCTGGATGGGAAGCATAACATCTTTAAACTTGGAAACAAAGTCCAGTGGAATGTTTTTAATTTTCATGGTGAATTTTAGCCACAAAACAGGCACGTCCAAACTGCAGCAAACATTTCAGTCTGCAGAGATAATCATAAAAGCTGACCTTCCCTGCATTTAAGACCTTTAAAGGTTTCAGGTCAGGAAAACAGACACCAACATCTCTGCAGAACTCACACATCCTGGACACAAACTTTTACCTTCAGAACATTATTCACTAAAATCAGCCGCCCGAGAGAGTGATTCTTCCCCCAGATTATCTCTGACAGACGCCTTAGAGCCCAATTAGTCAACTACTCCACCATGAAACAAGTAGATATTAAGACAGACGTCCCTTTGGGTCAATCTGCTTTGCACATTAAGGAAAGTCTGTCGCCAACCACCATGGAAGAAAACCAAAAGAAAAAAGCGGAGGCTTAATTAGCAGAGGCAAAACACAAAGAATAGAAAAATAACTGTTAATGTAGGAAACCAAAGTCCAACTCATCGTTTGTCCACAGAACCTTTGCCACTAAAGCCGACTGTGATATTGACAGAAAATCAGAGGGATTTATGACATCACATGGATTAATTATCCATGACAGTCTAATGTTAGAAAGACTGTCATCGAATGAAGTGCAAGCCTGAAACAATCAGCTTGTTTTGTTATTTATTTTGCATCAACAGGAAGGTAAACAGGTGTATAAATAAAAACAGCTCTGATTAAACATTGACAATAAACTAAAGCCTCTGCTGTTCCTCCCGTCTCGCTTCGCTTCGACTTCCTCTGAGTTTGAGGAGAGAATGCGTGATATTAAATTCAAAGGAGCAAAACATGCGTAAATGAATGCTTAATTGACATATTAAAGAAAATCCCCATCAGCATCCAGGATATGTTCAGTTTCTCTACAAATATTTGTTGTTGTTGTTGCGGATTGTTGTAACAGGGATAATTAGGATCATAAATGTTTTGTAAGAACTATGTTCTCTACTTCCAAACTCAGCATCTCTTCATCCAGGCCCGCAATAAGAAGTTTCTTTAGAAGCTGTCAGATGCACTCTTAGAAGTTTTGAATGGATTTGATTAAACTTTTGAGCCTCTCGGTATAAAATAAGTATTTTGATGGAGATGAGAAATCGAAAGATTTTTATTTATTTTTTCCTGTTACAGATGGCAGTTAAAACTGTTGTTCCTACGGTGTGATGTCAGAGTCACCATCAGCTGTACAAAAAAACACCAGAAGGGTTTAGAGCAGGTTGATAGAAAATAAACCGTTGCTGGACGCAGTTTAATCTATTGTTACAACGCACAAAACTTTCTACAGATCTGGACAAAGACGGCTCTTATATTCTTCTGTAATTTGAGAAAGTCACTCTGCATTGTGTGTTTTTCTGCTCTGGATTAAAAAAAAAAAAGACTTATTAAGATTTTAATACTTGTTTTATAATAAACTGTTTTGATTTTTCATGAGTCAAAATGGTCTAAGTGTTTATTCATCTAAAGCAGGCTATTTTCTGTATTTTGAGGTGGAATGCAGCAAACTTTTTGCTTTTGTTTAAACAACTTTTATCCTGATTATGGGAAGTATGTGTGCTTGACTAGAGGTGGAAATTTCATAAGGAAGATGTGAGATAATGTTTAGTTACAATATTATGTTCATCTGTTAATTCAAGCAATCAGAAAGTGTAATTCTAGTTTCACACCATACGGCATCAAAAAATGCCTTCTGCTTCATTTTTGATGGGTAAAAAGTAGTTTCATATATTTTTAATCGAGAAAGTCCACCTCAAAATATCGTCAGTTCATCCATTTACCATCAGGCCTTAAATATTATTTCTCTGTCGCAGCCGCTCAGACCCCCACATACCGGCGGTGCGCTGTCACTGGGAATTAAAATATTGCAGCTCATCAGGTAGTCAAATGAAATCATTTCTATAGCTGTTTTACAAGTAAATAATTGCAGAATTGATAAACCCAATTGTAATTAGGGTTCAAAGCATTCCTAGGTGGCCGCCCAGCAGCAGCTGCCTCTGGGCGTTTTCCCCTAATGTTCGTGGCTACTGGAAGTAGATTTCAGCTTTTTTCAGGTATGTGGTACAAGCTGCAGGGACCAGAATAATAAAAGCAAACATAGATTGCTGGCAGGTTTAAACATTTAAAGTTAATTTAGACGTTTCAGTGGAGTGATCATAGCGATCTGCATCAGCAGTGCCCAAGATCATCTTCTCTGATTGGATGATGTGCCGCATCTAGTAGCAAAAATCAAATTTTTCCAACTCCAGCATCTGCTGCTAGTAAAATTTTAGAAATTTTAAAATTTAGATGAAGTTTCCTGGGAAAAATTAGGGTGTACAAAAGCTGTACATCCCAAAAACATGGTGTACAATTTGTTATTTTTTTTAATAAAGGGCGAACAATGTGCTCCCTTATGCATCACTAGCTTAAAGCCTGATCGAGTTTCAATTCATATTCCTTTATTGGAAAAAGAAGGAACATTTATTTTCATCACCATTTTCTGGCAAACAGCACAATCACTAGCAGAATATAATAAAAAATAAAATCAAAAACAATGTTTGATATTTTTGTATAAGAACACAGAATATCAGTTGTTATACAAAAGTTGCTCTAAATAAAAAGTGCGAGTGTTTATGTATTATGAATACTTAAAATTCAGTAATCTAAACATTTTATCCTGAATATGGCAGAATTATATTAAAAAACAAAGATATAAAATCAGAAACAGCAGAACTGTCCATATTAATTATGCTAAAAACAGTGAAGAACAAGTAAATTGGAGCTTGATGATGAATGAATGCAGAGTTTTGACTTATTTCTTTGCTCACCTTGATGTCGGTGTAGGAGACTTCCTGTGGGCGGTCTGGACCCTGACCCGGTGTGGCCACGACTGTCGTCACCTTCCCAATGTCTCCTAGGAAATGAGCAGCACAAGCTTTGTTAGTTGATTATTAAATTAGGGGTAAAGAGTTTAAACTGAAAGAAATCCTACGCTAAATAAAAGCTGTGAATTAAAATGAACTGTTAAAATAAGGATATTATGCTGTTAATCCAGTATCCTGGACCTTCTCTGTGCTGCATGTAGAAGATGTAGGCTAAAGACAGCCCTTTGGATGGATGTCAAATATACACACGCCTCCGAGAAGGGAATGGCAGAGTTCACATTCATGTGACTAATTAAACTGGAGAAGGAGTCACAAAAATAGGCCAACGTCTTTGATCTGAAGAACCGCGTTCAGTGGCGCCAACAAACTTTAGAAAAGATTATTCTGCTAAAGAATCCAGGTTAAAAGGAACGTCTGAGGTTTTATTACTGAAATTTTACTGATCTATTGATTAAACATTTTATTTCCAACTGCACCTGATCTATTAAATTAAATTCAGTCAAAAATCCAAGCAGGTAAAATACTGATTGATGGATTGGTTAGTAATATTCTATATAATTAAAAGACATTTTATAATTTATTACCTAATTTCAGTGAAAATAGTATTTATATTTTTATGCATATACTTCTTTACTCATATTTTCTTCACTTTAAACAGTTATGTGGCCAAAACAGATCCCTGCAAACATTTTTAATTCTGCTAAACTTATTAAGACCAGGGATGCAACTAACGATTATTTTGCAAATCGATTAATCTGCCAATTAATTTTTTTCGATTAATCGATTAATAATCTGATAGCCAAATGTTCCTTAAAGAAGATTTTAACAAAATTAAACCAGATGAAACTAAGAATTTCCACTTGAGGGGTTCTGGATAGGACATATTGACAGACAAAAAGGTTGTTTATCTTAAATTAAAAATTATTATATATTATTGTTACAATTTTTATATAATTAGTGCTCAAATTAGGTTGCTCTGTCAACTTAAGGGCTCTATACTCAAGTTCACAATAAATCGATTACTAAATTAGTTTAAGATTATTTCAATCATCGATTAAGCCGATTAATTGTTTCAGCTCTAATTAAGACAAAAGCTTTTAAACTGATATCTGCTTTTAGCCCAGCGTTGCTATTTGCCTACAAGACAAGAGATGTAAGATAAATATTTCAATAACATCTGAGTCGTGCAGATTAACAGAGCAGCAAATCCTCATCTTAAACAATAACACATTTTAAGTAACATCCGTTTTCAGACTCTCTTTACACACAAACTTCAACCTTGTTTTTTTTTTAGCTGTAAAAATCATCCTTTTTTCTAATATATTTCTGAAATAGATTAGGAGCTAAACTATAGAAACACCCTTTTCTGCCAGAGGAGCCCTGATAAGGTATTTCTCCTCCTTTACCTCTGTGAAAACATTCACCGCCCACTACAGCCCTGGTCTGCTTCATATTGTCTCCTTGGTTTTGTTTTCTGTCTGGTTAAACTGGGTGACAATAGATTTTCCAAAGCTCATTAGTGCTGTTTGAACATCACTAAGAAACCACGTCCACATACTCAATGCTTTGTTTATTAAACAGACGACATGCTCTTTGATGCGTTCCTCCTGTACATATAGGCGGACATCTTGGTGTTCTTGTACATCTCTATAGTAAACGCTCATCAGTCCATGAGGCGTGCTGGTTATCCGACAGCTACACTGGTGGCGGCTATCGGTTACAGCTAAAATTATGAGGCCTGCACGTTGACCGGGTCACTGAGTTCATCGCAGGGTTCATCCGCTGGGCAGTGACCCAGAGAAGATATCCGAGTGAAGTTGGCCCCCCTACCTTATTCAAAATCAGACAAAATTTCATAAAAGTGGGGGGGCTGATTTATGAAGGTAGATTTGTTTCTTTATTCAATCAAAAAAAATATTTTCAATGAAAAAAAAATCTTCAATGAAAAAAAAGTATTTGAATGCAAAAATATATTTGAGACTCAAAAAAATACATTTGCTTTTCTTTGATTGAAAATGTTTTATTTGATAGAAGTGTCTATTTGTTTAAAGCAACTTTTTTAATTGAAGTAACATTGTTTTTTGATTGGACCATATAATGGGTAGGACATTTGTGTCCTTATTTAAGAAGTTGCTTCAAACAAACAAACAACAGAATCAATTAAAAAAAAGTAACTTCAATGAATTCAATGATTGAATAATAAAGAAACAAAATAAAATAGAGAAACAAATCTACCTTCATACTGGTTGACCTTTTGGATATCTTCAAAGCCAAAGCAGCACAAATGAAAATTTATGCTGCACAAACGGAGTCGAGTCAATTGACACCCATTTCGTCTGATTTAAAGAAGGTGGGGGGGGGGGGTGGGAGACTTCACTCAGGTACAGGACAACATGTTAAAGCCAACTTTTCTCAGCATCTGTTAGCGTCCCGTTTCATATATCATAGCTCTCTTCTGTAATTTTTAATATACTGACACATATCGTATATCGGCCTAATCCCAATCAAATAGCATATCTAAGGTTTGAAATAGACAGAATGCTTTTAATGTGGTCCAAAATACTTTGCTACAGTTGAAACTTGTGCTCAATGCAGATGAAACTAAATGTATGTTTTTCACAGACCTTTGGAACAAGCCACTGAATGTTCCTTCAGTGGTTACTCCTGATGCACGTGAAATACAGATTGTTACAACTTATAAGTATCTTGGTATTGTTATTGATGACCTATCATTTAAGCCTGATGTTCACTGTCTAGTGAGAAAGTTGAGACTAAAATTGGGTTTTTACTAGGGATGCACGATATAATCGGCCCCCTATCGGTATCGGCCTTAAAACTGAATATCGGACATCGGCCACCCCACCGATATTTGATCAGCTTCTGAGTCTCTAAAGTCTAAAAAAGTCTTTTTTACAGACTTAAAAACTTCTAAAGATGAGGGAAAAAATATTGATACATTAAAATATCCCAATATCTTCACATGCTGATATATTGCCATTTAAAAACACCATATCAATCTCTTTTACTAATGAAATTTTGCTATATGTCATCGTTATGCTACGAAATCCCCCGAAAATTCACGAAATTTTGCCATATTTTTATATGTTGATATATTGACGCGGTATCGATCTATTTTATCTATCTCACAAGAATTTACAAAATATCACGAGAGTTTGTAACAGAACGATGAAATTTCACGATCTTCTGAAAGTAAAATAGATCGATACAGCGTTTTTAAAAATCTATTTGATATCAGCATATGAAAATATATTTGAGTATATTATTTTTCAAAGTGTCAGAAATGGATAACAAAACTGCTATTTTCAATGACTACTTATTTTTGTCCAGCTTTAACATCGGTATCGATATCGGTTATCGGCTACATGAGTTTTAAAATATCGGCATATCGGATATCGGCCAAAATCCCAATATCGTGCATCCCTAGTTTTTACTTTCGAAATAAGCTGTGCTTTTCTTTTAATGTAAAAAAACGGTTGGTGGCATCCACTTTTTTAACTGTGCTGGACTATGGTGATATATTATATATGCAATCATCTGCTCAATGCCTGCAGATGATTGACGCAGCCTATCACGCATCATTGAGATTTATTACTAATTGTAAAGCTCGCACACATCACTGTGAGCTGTATTCTCGTGTAGGGTGGTCTGCCTTGGCTAAACGGAGGCTTCGTCATTGGTATATATTTATATATAAGGCTATTCTTGGTGCGCTTCCATCTTATTTATGTTCACTTCTTATGAAAAAAAGTACTGGTCATTACTCTCTCCGTTCTCAGGCTGTTGTCTTGTTTTCTGTCCCACGTGTCAGTACTGAGCTGGGTAAAAAGGCCTTTGCTTACTCTGCTCCCTTTACATGGAATTTGCTGCAAAATAACTTGAAACTTAGTAAATTGGTTCCTTTGAATACTTTTAAGCTGAGAATGAGAAGTTTTGAGTTGGACTCCCTGACATGTCAATGTTTTCATTGAAATTTTATTGCATATTTGGCTTTTTTATGTGTGTGTCTTTGTACGTATGTAATGATGTGATGTAATTTTGATGCCTATCTTGGCCAGGTCTCCCTTGCAAAAGAGTTTTTAATCTCAATGTTATTACCTGGTTAAATAAAGGATAAATGAAAAAAAATAAATAAAATGGATCATAATCTAAAATTCTTCCTATATAAATACTCTATTTAAAAGCCATGTTTATGTCAACAGAAGGCAATTTTAAAACCATTTATTTATTGACAGACTGGTCTGCAGTAAGGGGTCTTCTTTACCACAACACTGGGAAAATATTGACATTGCTCAACACAGACCACGGAAATCACTTAAACTAAGACCAAACACATCTTAATCTATTACCAAGAGCTGAAACAATAAATCAGATTAATCGATTATTCAAAGAATAACCAACTCATTTAGTAACAGATTAAACGTTAAGTGGAGTGTAGAGACTCTGAAAGATGCCTTTAGCTGCCAAACAACTCACCTTCAGCAGCAATTCTACCAAAACTGTAAAGAAAATATGTAAACATATTGCATTTAAAAATATATATATTTTTTGTCAGTCAGTTTGCTCTATCAAGAATTTCTCAAGTTTAAAAGCTTTAGTTTCCCCTTGTTTAACTTTACAAAAATTCTCTAAGGAGGTTTTTGCTATCCGATTATTAATCAAAAAAATTATCGACAGATTAATCGATTTGCTAAATAATGGTTAGTCGCAGCCCTAATATGAACCATTAGACTTGCTTAGAATGAGATAAAGTTTTTGGGATTGCTCAGTATTATAAAATATTATTCTAGGGATTATATCCACTTGTGTGACCTGCTTCCATCACTCTGTGAGCTTTAACATTTTAGACAATGTCATTCGTGTTCGGTGTGAGCATCTGCTGCCTCCAGACAAAATTACATTAGCATGTGAAATGAAGGTTAACACAGAATAAATCAGCCAACTATTATTTCACTCCAAACAGCCCTGATTAGGAATGAAAGTGGTCGGATGACTACAAAACCGGTGGGAATCATTATTGTAAGAGTATTTCTGTTCATTTCGCCCCATTTCCATTAGTGCCCCTCAAATCGACTCGTCTGCTCCACGCTTTGGTTTGCATCTGAGCCACACGGACTAAAGAGGTAACATGATGAGAGCTGTAGCAACCAAACTAGACTGAGCAGCACTCACATAATCATCATTCTATTTTCAGAGAGGAAATCCAGAGGAAGGCTTCATGCAGCAAAACAAAGTAGAGGAGGGAGAGAAGCCATTAAGCTGAATCACTGAAGAGAACGAGCTGGAGGATGTGACGCTAGGCTAACAATTCCTAATGCTAGCTTACTAAAAGTCCATTGTACAATGATGTGTTGGTATTAGTTATCATGGATATGCTGAGACAAGTGACGTTTTCTTAATAAATCATACTCAGATCATGACAAGGCACTTTATCAAACCAACTTAAAGCTTCATTGGCACAAACTTTTAATACTGCCCAGCAAAGCCAACAATAAAAATAGTCTATATTTATCTAAAAGGAGCTTTCCGCATCAATTATTATCTGTACACAAGTCCATTAAGTAAAAGTTGTGGATAAACCAGATTAAGCCATGCAGGCTACCTTTCCTATTCAGTCAGGTGTCAGGTTTAACCAGAAGAGTTAAAATTGTCTTTTTTGATATATAATTAGATCTTCATCTACAGTCTGAAGTGTTTTGAATCCACATATATGATCATGAAAAATGGATCAGGACAGAACGAGGTCACAGATACTAACTGCATAAATGAGCTTCTTTTATAGTGTGGACTCAACTAGGGCTAAAACAACTTATCGGATTAATCATGATTAATTGATTATAGAAATACTTGTCAACTAATTTAGTAATCAATTAATCATAAAACTGGAATATACAGACTGTAAAACATTCCTATAGCCGACAGAGTGACCAATTTAGTGCAGCTATTATACCAAACCTGTAAAAATTATATATATTAACATTTTGCATTTAAGATATATATAAAAAAAAAAGCAGAACTCTATGCAGAACTACTCCAGCAGAATTGTTTTAGGCTACGTTCACACTGCAGCCTGAAGTGACCCAAATCTGATTTTTTTTTTCCCTATGCGACCTGAATCTGATCTTTTCATTGCAGTCTGAACGACACAGATCAGATTTTTTCCAGGGGACCCAGGCCACTTGGCTATGTGGTCCTGAATCGGATACGAATCTGATCTTTTCAAATGCGACCTGTGTCTGAACGGCCAGGTCGCATTCATCCCACCTGAACGCCATTGATACCCGAGGTCACTATTACGGGATTTTGCTATGAAGAAGCGGCAAGAAAAAACAACCATGGCAGACGATGATGCAGAGAGCAGTATTTATGTTTAACCATCTTGAAATTATTGTGTTTTTATGGTTGGAAAAGATCGCTAGATGCGCTCCAGCACTACCATCCATGTTTACTTCCGTAAACACAGAGCACTCTGCCCTGTGATGTCATTGCGTCCTCTACCGCACATGCAGCACACTGTATTGTATGCAACAGTTCACACAGGAGATCACATAGAAGTCGCATATATTTGAAAATGTGAACAGCAACGCAAAAATATCGGATTCCGCAAAAAAATCGGAATTGAGCATCAAGACCTGCAGTGTGAACGTAGCCTTAATGGCAGATTATAGTTCTGCAACCGCACACATCAACTGTCACTTGGGTCTGGTCACGAACAAGTTTAGCTGGTATGGTTCTGCAACGTCTGGAATTTCTAGGGATGCACAGCAGTTTCCCGCCAAAGCGCTAGTGGGAGCCTATAGGAGAACTTGCGAACTCTTTGGCGGATGGTCAATAGAACTTCTTCGGCGGCGCCGGCGGGAGTGTTCATTTTCCAAAACAACATGTCTGAGGCATCGTTCAAGTGGTTGTACTTCCGAACCTCCTCAATCAACCTTTCGTCGTGGTTATCCATTGCTGTTATTACTCCTCGGTTTTTAAAAATGGCGCCCCCCCGCACCGAATCGAGAAGGACGACCACACAGACAGCCGGAAAGGCATACCGAGGACCAATCACAGCTGCATTTTGTCTGCGAATTTCCACTTGAGGCCTGCGCAGGTTTGCGACCGTCTGACACATAGTCAGGATTTTTTTTTAAGGTGCGCGACGACGGTTGCAGAGCACAGAGACAGATTTGACAGTTGCAGAGGCTATGCCTCAGAAGCATAAATTGGCCTTTAGTTTCACCTGGTTTAATTTAATAAAAAAAATCTTCCTTAAGGAACCTTTGGCTATCCCATTAATTAAAAAAAATAATCAACAGATAATTCATTTGCATAATAATTGTTAGTTGCAGCCCTAGACTCAACAAATATGTAACTAAACTGGTGACAAAAAGAGCATTTATAACATAAAGTTTACTCATTTAAGATGAGTAAAATTAAAGCTACAGTGTGTAATAATTACAGGCATATAAATTCAGAAATTTAATATATTATACATAACTATGTTATTTATCATCACCTATGAGCTCAGCCTTTTAACCATAACATTTGCGTTGCCTTAGAATTCGTTATTTATAATTACATAGGAGCGGGTCTCGCAGCCATGGAGGCTGACATCTTTGCGCTACGGCAGCGCAGAGGCAACAAACTAGCGATTGCGAGATCTCCCATGACGCTCGAAAATAACTACGGCAAGTTGAGAGAGATGAACTGAGACGGTACTGAACAGTAGATGGCAGTATTATGCCTGAGAAGCGTTTAGTCTGCCTGAAACCAAAGAAGAAGAAGAAGCAGGTATACTGCGCCTCGGTAACAAGAAAGGTAAACAAGGCGGCAGGCGTGAGTGACTTTGCAAACTGTTTGGCACTGTGTGGCCAAACATCAGACGAATGGAGGATCATGCCTACTCTGTATCACAACGAAAAGCGGCGGACACCGAACCCCCGTCATCTAAGAAGCGGAAACACGACGAGAATAAACGCAAGAGTGACAAGAAACGACAAAAAACACGGATCAACATTGGCACGGCATTTACACGATGGAAGTCACTGATGGAGGAAAAAGGTTTTCAAAGTGACGCTCAAGTTGCCAGTTTTCTCTTGGACAGGTAATTAATCCTATACACACAATTGTCTAATATCACTGCAGTTTTTGGAGTACAGGATGCTCAGACCTGTCTAAAACAATAACATGCTGCGTGATGATGCTGTTACTCTCCAGTATACTTATTCAGCAACGTCCCTGACGTTTCACAGGTAATGATTCAGTAATTTTCTGTAAAATAATTTTCTGGATATATACCTCGGTTACTTCTCTCCGGCTCCTTTGGAGATCTTCAAGCCTTTCCTCCTCTGCTCTCACCCCGCTGGCTCCCCTCTCTCGCCTGGCCCCAGCTGCACGCTCACCCCGGCCTCTCTGCCCTCTTCCTTTCCCTCTTCCTTGCCTTGTAACCCCCGTGCCACAAACAAGACTTGGACTCTGTAAACGGGGAATATATATTCTTCCAGCGAACACAATCTCGCTGTTAAACTAATGACTACAATTACTTCGTCTGTTTATATCACCATGCAAAGCAGCTCACCAAAACGTCACAACGACGTAGAAAAAATAACGGGTATATTTATTATCTTAAGTCTACATGAAATCTATACCCTACACAGACTAATGAAATACTATCTGTAAAATTATCTATGTAAACAAACCTCATCACTTGAGAAGGTAGGTGATGCGGACGTCGTGGAAGACATTTTGTCCCGTAACGCTCGCCGTACTGTTGGGGGGGAGAAGCGGTGGGGGGGAGACGTTCGTGTTGCTGCAGTCTGCAGTCTGACCGCTAGATGTCGCTGAAAATTACACACTGTAGCTTTAAGTTATCTGACCAATGGAAAATATATTTAAGCAAAATGCATGGTCTGCACATGTCCTGCAAAACATCTCTGATCAGCTGAAACCTCAGATGCTCTGATCCACCTCAGACTGCAGTTGCAGCCAAAGCTGGTTTGGCCATGCTGGACAAGTGTTGTTTTTCCACCATCTTGGCTGCAGGCTTTAAAAACAGTCCAGTGATAATAGCTAACTGAAGTACATTAGATAAGAGTGGCATGCTTCAGGTAATTTGTTTCTGCTTTAATGACATTACTAGCTTTATGTTAAGCTAAAACACCTGATTCTTTCCTCAATACAAGATTAGGGACTTAATAGAATCAAGGAGATGAAAGAGCAAAACTAAGGGGGGGTTCAAATAGCCCAGATATGCTTTCTGATTAAGGACACAACCCCTAGATGTCCCAGAAGGCAGCAGTGCTCTGGAGCTGGACGCGCATCACTTGCAGCTCCAGGCTGCGACCACCTGCTGCCGAGTCCTCGCCCCACAGGTGACCTTGGTGGGTGAGCATCGCTGCGCCCTGACCCAACCCCAGGCGAGCCGGACCGACAGCTGATGCTCCTCTCACGCAAACAGCAACAAAAGAGCCAAACGTTCAAGTTATCCGAGACCAGCTTTGCCACAAAGAACCACCGACTAATTCATGATTTCACTCAAACTGACCCCGATCTAATTAACCCGACCTCCCGAAACAAGGGTCCGTGCTTATAATTCATATCATCACCTGACAGCCTCAGGTTCCCCCGGGTTTTAATGATCATTCGGACCGCTGTCACAGTGATATCATCCGGATAAGGAACTAAAAAAGTGGCTAAAACAACCAGCTAGGTAGCATGCTAATAAGTTGGTTAGCATGGAAACTCTGCTGCTAAAGCCCAGCTGAATAAAATCTGTTCTGCTAACAAACTTGTTAGCGTGCTAGCTCTATGCTACCTATTGATTAGCACATACTCGAGGAAGGAAAAATACGATTTTCTTCTTTATCAGGGGAACCTACCGTCAGATTTTTTTTTAAATAAACAAGCTACTTTAAAACATACTAGAAATAAATGTTTAAACTGGTGACTATTAGGCAAAAATAACTTACTGGAAAGCTTAAGATTCGAGCATCCCGACGAGCTGCTGCCGGAGGCCTGCGGGACCCCGGACTTTCCTGTGCTGCTCCCCACGGCAGCGGCTGATCCGGCGGAGGCTGCGAGGGCTCCTGGAACACCTGGCGGCTCAGCAAACGAGCTGGTCCTGGGCCGCCCGCTGCCGCTCATATCTCTGAGCAGAGGTCAGAGTTATTCTCCCCTCTGTTTTCAGCTCAGCGACTAATAATTATGATCAACGGGTGGCGAATAATAGTTAAAAGAATTGCGCTTCAGTTTCCGCCGCCAGCTGTCTGGGTTGAAAGCTGTTGCTAGACACCTAGATACAGAGCTGCCGCAATGCCACCTGGGAGATGGAGTTCGAGGCAGCTGGGGAAAATGTTTGTACCCATAAAACAAAATGACTACAACTTTGCCATTAATTACCTAAAAGTTATTCAACTCCAAACTAAATAATTTAATAACAATGTAAACATATTTATAATCAAATGCAATTAGTAAATCTACTCTTCTGTGACAAACTACACAATACATATTTACAATGGCAAGTAAATATAAATGTATGAATGCTTATACACATATATATGTGTGTGTGTATAAATATATATATATATTATATGTATATATACATATGTACAAATATATACATATATTATGTATATATGTAATATATATATTTTTGTAATATATATATGTATATATTATATATATAATATATATAATATATTTAGATATAGATATATATGATATAGTTATATATGATAAAGATATAGATATATTTATCATTTATATCTATATAATGAACAACGGCAATGGCAAGTAAATATGAATGTATGAATGCTTATACACACACACATACATGTGTATATATATATATTTATATATATATACACACATATTTATCTACACACACACACACACACATATATATATATATATATTTTATTTTTTTTTCCTTACAAAAGATGACTTTATATTTTTGCAAGACTGGAATATGCATAAATACTCACTTGACAAGGCTTATGGCCTTTGGCTGAGGAAAATTTATTCTATTCTCAATTTCCAAATCAGGATTTCTCCTCGTTCTTATAGGTGTGGACTGTTTGAGCAGATCTCCCCTTTGTCTGACCTATATCTGTGCAGATGGCCTAATTCATTTATATGAAAGGCTAACTGGTGGAGCATCAACTGTGAGATACAGGGATTGTCTGATGGACAAATGGCCAGATCTAAAACTACTATAATTTTGTGTCTCCTTTTGATTCCTAGCAAACTGTGAATACCAAGAGAACATTAAGAACCTCTGGCACTTAATGGGTTTTATGTATCAGATCATAACAAAACCACTCGATTCTTAGCAAATCAAAAAGAAAAAATCACTTAAATTTGAGATTTCATGACATACATCTGTGAAGCATGGGTATGGTAACTAAGTAGCGGAATTACAAAGGAAGAAAAAACAAGTATACAGCCACACATTGTGGCTCAGTAATTGGGGAGATTAAATACATATAGAAAAGATTTAAAATGCCTCGTAGTCTGCCAAAGGAGAGGTTCGTTAAGGAAATCCATCACAGAAATGGATGCCTGTGTTACCGTTGAAGCTCAGCCCAAACATCCAAAGCTTCTGTATAAAGAGAGGACTAATGTCTGTATATGTCAAACTAAAGCTGAAACATATTTACATGCATATTTTTCCATTAGATTATTTCAAAGCCCAATCCAGGACTGAGTTTGGAGGTCAGATGTTCATCTACGTTATATCCTGTACAACAACAATCAATCTTTTTCTGAGATGTGGTTACCTTTTTATTATGCAACACTGTATTTCAGGTAGTGTTGCACCGATGCCCGATACCTGGCAGTGCAGTATAGGCCGATACCGATACAATCTGTTTAAAATTGATGTGTGTGTGTATATATATGAAGAACTGCAGACTACTTGGATGTAAAATAATTGCCATCATGGCTTTGTGAAGCAGGAAACAGACTAATACAAAGTGAATCCGGTAGAACTTTTTATTGCCTACCTGGAATGGGTGACAATAGTTAAATAAACTTTTGGCCCTAAAAATGGTATCGGTGCCCTATTTGTTGGTACCTGCCAACACTAATTTAAGGTGCATAAAAAAAGGAAGAAAAGCAGATAGATAAACACTCAACAACACAAGGCATTGTGTTAGATCTTTAATATTTTCAATATTTAGTTTCTTTTTGTTGTCATTTTAGAAATATTGCACATGGTCAACATGCCTGCTTATGAGATAACACTCACATCGCTCATCCTTAAAATTCCTTCTCCAAAGTAAGGACAGTTTTATTTTAGAAGCACAATCATACACTTTACACGCATAACTGTGTGTGAACGCACGCATGTCTGTGCGGGCGTGTGCAAGTGTGCACATGTTTGCACATGCATGCAGATCGACACTTAACAGCCCTAAAGAACCCCCCCCTCCCTAAAAGTGAGGTGAACCGATCCTCTATAATTACCTTTGTGTGTTGATTTATATTTATGCATTAAAATGTGTATCCTGCGTATGTTTGGTATATATTTATACACGTTTCCTGAATCAGCTGAGTTAATTAACAGTCTATATGGCTGAGGAAATAGTCGCGGTGACTATAAAAATACCATCTCTTGAGTAGAATATAGAATGGAAAAATATGCTTGATGATGTTGCTGAGTGGTGACAGGAGAAGAGGTCGGTCGTGTTGACAAACTGCCTGCATGTGCCAAAACATACACATCTCCCAAACACAGACATAAATGCACAAATATGGAAATACCTGTAATATATTTATATCTATATAGATATATATATCTATACATATAGATATATATATATATAGTCACACATCCAACTCTATACAGCGAAATAAAAGAGATACCCATAATAAGAACTACCCCCACTCTTCACCAAAGAAGCAAAGAGCCAAAAAAGTGCTATTCAAATAATTGTTGTTGACTTTTAGTAAGTTTTACACTCTATCTCCTTAACGTTGATAATATTTGTGATTCTTTTTTGTTTTTTTGCTGTTTTTTTTAACCACAGTTCAAGATCACAACAGCTCTTTCCTCACACTGACTGCACTGAATTAAAAAAATCTATGGCACAGAGCCTCGCTTCTCCCCCCCCCCCCACAAAAAAGTTAATAAAAGCCATTTCCAAAAGAAATAAATGTCCTATTGCACCATTTGATGGGAAAGGATAAAGTGTCGAGACGAGAGGGGAGGGAGGAGGGGGGGGATGGCTCCAGGGTCTGCCCTCCAGGGCTGGTCTAGGATCTGCTTTCCCTGAACTGAACCCTAACCAGAACCATCCTGAGCTACATAACGCTTGACCCGAGACCAGTGCTTAAGGGCACTTTCTAACAACACTGGAAGGGTGAGGAGAGTCAGAGGGGAGGGAGATGGAGGGGGGGGTGGGGGAAACATATGGAAAGAGGCTATTTTACTAAAACAATCTCTTAAAAACAATACTTTCCTGATTGAACTTGTGGCGATCCCCCGACAACAAGGGGACGCACAAAATGTGCAAACACCTGATTTTAACATTTAAATTTTTTTTTCAAAATATGAAACCACCAAACATCCCTGCCCCGCCCTGTTTCTGAGTCTGGCCAGGAACCGTCAGAAGGAGGGGTGGAAAGGGAGGGCACGGACTGATTTACCCCCCCTCCCATTTTGTGTCCTTTCTTTTCTTTCCTTCTTTTTTTTTTGTCTTTTAGATTTTTTTGTCTTTTTATGCTGGAGAAGAAACACATTAGAGCCACGAGAGAAAGAGAGAGAGAAAAAAAAAAACAGGCCACGGTAAAACTGGTTATTTCCACGGCAACAATGACGAGAGAAAAATCAACATGGCCTCCATCCAGAGGAGGGATTCTGAGAAGTTTGGTTGAGTTCCTGCTTTTCCTTCCTGTCGGTGAGCTCGTCACATTCGGTCCAGTGCTGGAGTTTCCGCCTCCAAATCGCCACAACCAGTAGTCTCGTTACATAATCTCTTTATGGTGCCCGTTCAAACAAGTTTCAGGGGATCGGACCCCCCCTCTCCCTCCCAGACATACAGACATAGATATTCGGCTCCTGCCCGTGAAGCTCTCAGTCTGTTATAATGGCAACAGCTGAAGGTGCAAAGATTGGTCACACTGCATCCAGACTCTTCTGTCTCTCAATACAATCACTAGAAAGAGTGCAGGCCGATGGCTTCGTCAGACCCGGGGTTTGATTATCTTTGTGTTCGCACTGCATATGTGTCTACGCATGCCTCCGTGTGCGCGTGCCGACTGTCCTGCAGCATCGAGGGGCTGTTGAAATATCAGTGGAGGTCGCTGGGGTTGTGTTTGCGGCCCGACCACGGTGCTGAGGAGTGGAAGGGCGCCAAGGAGGTCAAGTCAATGGCATCTGAGGGGTGGCTGGCTGGCTGGCAACAGCAAACTGCATCTGCACGCTAAGTGACATAGTGCCTTTGTGTGTTGTGTCCTTGGTTGTGGCTCCGGGGGGACGAACAACCAAGAGTAACAGTCTAATTTGGTTCCTGTGTGGGTGGTGTGTGCACGTGTGTGTGTGTACCAGAGAGATAGAGAGTGTGTACCGAAGAGTTGGAGTCCCAAACTCCTTCAATGTGCTGAGAGCAGACCTGGGCAAAACCTTCAAGAAAAACATTCAGGATAAAAGGAAATTCAAGAAGCACTTAACTCATCACGCCTTGTATGTGGTTTAAACACTTCAAGGTCTGATTAGACAATCAAATCCTGTCTGGAGGTGTCTTATAATTTCAGCTGTTATGTCTGTTTTTTTTTTTTTTTTGCCCAGGTCTAATGGGAATCAGTGCCAGTGGAACCAGTCCTGTTCTGGTTATCACACACACTTCTCTCTTTCCGTTTTACGGTCCTTCGCTTTTCGGCTCCTCCGAGCTCTGGCCTTTGTCTCCCTGATGCTCCGTCCCTCCGTCGTCCCGCGTCGACTGACTGGATGACGAGTGGTGGGACGGGGAAGGCCCGGCGTCGGAGGACCCCCCAGGCTCCAGTGTTCCTGGCGTGGCCGTCTGCATGATCTTCTGACGAACCTCTCGGATCTTCAGCTGCAGACACACTTTGGTGGGGAAAGTGTCCGGGAAACGCGCCTGGAAGGCGGCTGTGGCCTGAGCTGGACAGATAAGATGAAGGATGGAGGGAAATTTAAAAAAGAGGTAAAAAATCTGAACAAATAAAAAACATTTTATCTTAAAAAAAGAGGAAATGTAACGTCTGAGGGCAAATATGGCTCTGAACTGTAAAGGGTTCAGATCAGAAGTGGGTAGGAATTAATAATGGTTGGCAGGCTTTTAGCTAGCAATGCG